GGCACACAACGCGGCCAAATAAACGTGATTTTCTTGTTGGCCAATTTGTTAGCTTAACGGTGCGCGCAACGTTATAAGGCACACGGTCTTCTATTTACCACTTTTGTGTGATAATTTTAATAATCGTTTTGTTTTGGTTTTTTTTTGTTTTGTTGCTGTTGATCTATTACCGTTTAATAAAAAATTATTATTATTAATAATTTTATTTTTTTTTATAAATAAAATATTTTGTCTTTTTATTTAACAATAATTGTGGTTGTTAGTCCACACCCTAAATGCTTTAGGCAACAATTAATATATTTTGGAAAATTATTAAAGTATAAAAAAAAAATATTTTTGGTTGAAAAGTTTTATATATATTTTTGGTACTGATTATTGTCTTCGGGCAATAGGACCCAAGCCTATAATCAATTTGAGAGTTCGATTGCCGTGGGCAATGTGCGTGTGACTCTGTGAACAGCGATTTTAGCGCCAATCATAGAAGTGCTTATATTTGTTGGATTTGTGCAGTGTATTTTTGTTTTTTTTTTCTAATATAATAAATTAAACTATAATTTCCATTGATTGTTAAACTAAGTGAAAAATTTTTTAATAAATTTTTACAATTTTCAATTTTAAATTTACAATTTACAATAAAGTTAAGTTACATTGTTTAATATGCAAATGAAAAATGTTGCTGAAATACTGCAAATTATAATATAATAGAAGTGTGTTTTCTTCTAATGTTTTTTTCTTCAAAGTATCTAAAAATTAAAATTTTTTTATAATTTATTATTAATCAAATAATAACAGCAACTAAAACATGGATACAGCAAGTACATATTCAATATCATATTCTGACTGGCTTACGGAACCACGGTAACATTTATCAAAAAAAATATATATATATAAATAATATTTTTAATTATTATTAATACTTCGTGTGTGTTTTTTTTTATTTACAAATATTTGTTTACTTTCATTTAAATTTTTAGTTATAAATGCAAAATAAAAACTTTATATTTAATATAGAATTTGAATTGGTATATTCCGATTGGCGATCCTCTATTTTAAGTCGTTCTTTTTTTTATATACGCAATCAAATTTACACAATATTTAATTATAAGGGAATTTATTTTTATATATATAAAAGTTGTCAAAATAACCCCATATTATCTGTAATGTAGGTATGTAGAACATCAATCGATATATTCCGATTGATGAGCCTCTTTCGTTCTTTTTTAAACACGAAATCAAATTTATATAATTATTTGCTATAAGGGAATTTATTTATTTATTTTTTATATAAAAATTGTCAATTTGTACCTTTATTATCTGAAATATAGGATAGGTTTGGCTAATCTAACTGTCTTCAGCTAAGTTTAAGTGTTTTGTAATAAAGAAATTTATTTATGTATTTTTTATATATAGATTGTCAATTTGTAACTTTATTATCTGAAATGTAAGTTAGGTTAAACTAATTGTCTGCCAGTTAAGCATAGATCTATTGGTTCCTAGTAATACCAGTTATAGTTAAGTCTCTATATAGCAACTTTTTTTGCGAATTTAAAATTGCTTAAAACTCAACAAAACTCAACATCTACATATATAAAAATTTTTCAAAGTGCGTTCTTAGACCTAATATCAGTCAAATTTGCACCCAGACGTCGTATGTGTAGTTGTAGGAACATATATATGCAGTACGCTATATTGATCCCTAACGATATCAGATAGACGTCAATCTTCTATAAACTTATACGTATATTTCAATTGACTACATTTCACTTCAACGTCGTACTTTTTTATATTTAAGATTTAAGTTACACATTTTTTTATTTTACAAAAACATATTTTTGTTTTATATATAAAGGCGATTACAATGTTCTTTAATGATTTGAAATATAAACAGATTAGGTTACTTTAATTGGTAACGCATAGACCTATTGGTCTATTATATATACCTATATATAATAAAACTTAAAATTGTGAATTTAAGATTGCTTGAATTTCTACTTCTATAGTACGTTTCTTCGTTTCTTCGTTAGACCAGTTAACTTAATTAAGATTGCTTAAATTACTTGAATCTCAGGACAGTTAACTGTGAAGCCAGTGAAAACTTTCTATTAAGACAGACCCAAAATATTTTTTTAAACATTTTTGGAAACTTGGTTTTAGACCAAAATTTAGGGGACCACAGTCCCTTAGTTTTAGTACACAAGTACCGTGTTATCAGTGCCACGTTTTGAAATATGAACAGTTAATAATTACAATGTAATGAAATAATTATCATATTTAATGGTTGATAGCCCGGAATTTTAATCATCGATGATCATTAATGGTTGATGATTTGTACATAGATCTAAACCGTAATTCTGTATCATATATTTATTATTTGGACAGCGGAAAAAACCAGTGTTTAATTATGTATGTGGATAAGTGCCATAAATGATACGAGTACGTTGAAATTATTTATTTGAAAAGGCAATGTAAATATGATCTTTTTTAAAAGAATCTTCTTTTTATTGTACATTGTAATATATTAAAATATTTAAAAACAAACATTGTGATTTTGTACACTTCAAGTTAAATAGAATATTTTTATTTGGACGTTTTCTAATTGTTCTGCGATACTACTTTCCATTGATTTAAATTAAATTATTTTATTATTAAATAATAATAAATTATATTAACACGATCATAATATAAGCATCCTTAAACATATCTAGAAATGTTTATACATGATACTGGTTGTATATTCTTGTTATTAATGACTAAGTTGAAAAGTATGTCTTCTTAATCCAAGTCTTTGTGTTCATTTAATTGAGTTTTATAGTTCTAATTTCTTTTATTGACTACAAATCTGAAATCCATAGATTATAACTGCTAAGTTGACTATTAGACAGTATAGAGTTGCTTACCGTCTTTCTTACCAAAACATGAAGAAGAGAACTATATATAGAGCATTACTTAATAAAGCATATAGAATAGAATCGTATATGAGACTTGCTTAATAAAGCATATAGAATAGTATCATATATAAAGTGTTGCTTAATAAAAAATATAGGTTAGAATCGTTTATAGAGTTTTGTTTAATAAAGCATGTGGGATAGTATTGTATATATAGTCTTGCTTAATAAAGCATTTAGAATAGAATTGTATGTTGAGTTGTGCCTAAAGAAGGATATAATATGGAGCTTTTCATAGAGTCTTGTTTAACAAAGCATATAGTTTGGGGTTGTAAGTAAAACATACGATACAGAGTCTCCTCTATAAAATCTTGCTATTGAAATATTCAAGATAAAATTGTTTATTTTGCTTTTTCTGAATGTAATTATTCAGACAATAGGCAGGCTAATACAATATCGTGCTTATTACAGCTATCCTCTGTGTTGCTCTTTAGAGTATATAAAAAAAATTACACACAGAGCCTTACTTAATAGAGCATACGTTAAGGAATTGTTTCTATAGAGTCTTGCTTATGATCTTGTTAACTAAAGTATGTAAAACCTGGTTGTATATGTAGCTTGGCTTAAAAAACCAGGATGTACAGAATCATATATATAGTCTATTGTTTAATAAGGTGTATACAAATAATCGTTGTTTCTATAAGTCTGATATTAAAGCCTATTAGGTAGGATTATTTGCCTTGCTAATTTCATCATACTGCTATTCTCAGCCTATTTATATTAAGACTATTTTCACGTAACATATAAGAGATCTTCGTAATACAGGAGATTCTAATAATCAATATGTTAATTCTTTTTCAGTTAAAAATATTAAGATATATAATATATATAATATATATAATGTAATAATAAACATTTAGGGCTTCGCGAAGAATAGGATTATCATTGATTTTTCACAGAAAGACTTGAAAGTCATATGGAAAACAGAAATTATAGATGTTATTATAAATCTTTTATTTTTTCTGTGGCGACCCAGTTGGCTGTGCATTTATTGAATTTAAAAAGTAAAATTCAATTTCAAATATTTTTAAGTTTTTTGTTTTGATTGAGGAGAACGTTTCGATTTTTCTCTCTGTAAAAAGTTGAATAAAAGTTTATTAACATTGAAAATTTTTAGAGTTTTATTAATTAGCAAGGTGAACAGATCATTGCTAAATTGGTGACCCCGACGTGATTTCGAAAAAGTTTAAATTTAGAAATATTAACTTCTGAGCTAAATATCTAATTATCGAGCTGTGATGTCAGTTGCAGACGAAGGTGTAGTAATGGCTTCTGATAGTGGAAGTGTCGTAAACCGTGTAGCAGTGAAGGTGCCACCGTTTTGGCACGAGCGACCGGAGATTTGGTTTGCTCAGATCGAGGCGCAATTCGCAGTAGCTGCCATTACGAGTGACATCACACAGTTCAACACGGTAGTAGCAGCGATTGAGTCAAGTGTTATCGCCGATGTAAGTGATGCAGTGCTTCATCCTCCTGAAACTGGAAGATACGCTAATTTAAAGGCTTGCATCATAGAGCGGTACAGTGAGAGCGAGCAGCGGAAGATTCAACGGTTGTTGTCAGAAGTTGAACTTGGTGATAGACGCCCAACACAGTTGCTAACGGAGTTGACAGCGTTAGCTAAAGACAAGGTGAGCGATGAGTTCCTTAAGTCTCTTTGGCTGAAGCGTTTGCCACCACAAGTGCGCGCTATTCTGCAGACATCGAACGTGGCACTAGCAGAACTGGCGAAATTAGCAGATCGTATTTGCGAGGCGGGTGATTTTCAACAGATAGCTGTAGCGTCAGCCTCTGATTGTCCAGCCTATTCTGATAATGCTGTGATTTTACGAAGGCTTGAGCAAATCGAACAGCGTCTGAGTCGTTTGGATTTACGTCGTAGTGAGTCGGTGCAAAGTCGATCGTCATCGAGGAGACGTAGGCGAACTCGTTCCCGACCAGGAAGTCATCCAGATTGGTGCTGGTATCACGAAAGGTTTGGTGATAGAGCTAATGCTTGTCGGCAGCCCTGTAGTTTTGTGGCAAGCTCTCATCAGTCAAAAAACTAGGCACTCCTTCTACGTCGTCGAGCCGAGAAGGGGTTAGTGTTCGTATAGCTCGACTTAGTATTAAAGATCCCGCCACGTCGACCGTTTTTCTCGTTGATACTGGTGCGGACATATCAGTTTTACCGAAGTCGTTCTGTCGTTGGAAGCAAAGGGCTAACAGTGTTGCATCAGTTAATTTATATGCCGCTAATGGTACGCCTATTCAAACATTTGGCGAGCGTCGACTGCTTTTGTCTTTGGGTTTGCGTAGAGATTTCCCGTGGACGTTCGTGATTGCGGATGTTAGCTGTCCTATTGTTGGAGCCGACTTCCTTAATCACTATGATTTGTTAGTGGATTTGAAAAGGAAGCGGTTAGTTGATTCGAAGACGACTTTGATGATGAAGGGTAAGGCTGCTGTGTCTCAAGAAGATACTGTGCGTGTGTGTGGTTCAGTTTCAGCTTATGCTGAGCTGGTTAATGAATACCGTGATTTAGGCATTATGAGTGCAAATCGGATGGGTTTAGTTACTAAGGTTGAACATTGCATCGAGACATTTGGTGCGCCGTCATTTGCTCGTCCCCGACGTTTAGTTGGAGCCAAACTTGAAGAAGCCAAGAAGGAATTCCAATTTTTAGTCCAGACAGGGATTTGTCAACCTTCGAAAAGCTGTTGGGTAAGTCCACTTCACATGGTTCGCAAAGGCGATGGAAGTTGGAGACCGTGTGGCGATTATCGCATGCTCAACGCGCAAACTAAACCTGATCGGTATCCGATTCCGTTCATTCATGATGTGACGAGTATTCTTCATGGTAAAACTATGTTTTCGAAGATAGATTTGCAGAAAGCGTATCATCAGATACCGCTTGCTCTGGCAGACATTCCGAAGACAGCTATTACAACTCCGTTTGGCCTGTTCGAGTTTCGCTTTATGACTTTCGGTCTCCGTAATGCTGCCCAGACGTTTCAGCGTTTTATGAATGAGACTCTAGGTGATCTTAATTTCGTTTTTGCGTACATCGACGATATTTTAATTGCGTCAAAAGATGAAGCAGAACACAGAATGCATTTGCGACTGGTTTTAGATCGACTTAGAGAAACTGGTTTGACCGTGAATTTTGCCAAGTGTAAGTTCGGCTGTTCCGAGATCGAGTTCCTTGGGCACGTTATTAGTGCAAAGGGTTTACGTCCTCCGGAGAGTAAAGTTCAAGCTGTTCGTGATTTTCCTCTGCCAGCAACGGTGAAACAGCTTAGACAATTCTTAGGCATGGTGAACTTTTATCGGCCGTTTCTGCGTAACGCTGTGCAGAATCAGCAGCGGTTGTTTCATCTTACACCAGGTAACCGCAAGAATGATAAGTCGGTGATTTCTTGGACTCCAGAAGATGTAGAGGTTTTTGAGGCTTGCAAGAATGATCTTGCCCAAGCTACGTTGCTTAACTTCATGGCTCTGGATGCACAATTGACGCTCACGACTGATGCTTCAGACGTTGCGGTGGGTGCTGTTCTCCAACAAGTAGTGAAAGGTGTGACTCAGCCATTGGCATTTTATTCAAAAGGTTTGAGTCCAGCGCAGACTAAGTATAGTGCTTATGATCGTGAGTTGACTGCTATCTATCAAGCTGTCCAGCATTTTAAGTATGCATTAGAGGGACGTGATTTCGTCATTTTTACGGATCACAAACCTTTAACGTTTGCGTTCAGGCAAATAAGTGAGAAGGCATCTCCTCGTCGTGCAAGACAGCTGGAGTTTATTAGTCAGTATTGCACTGATATTCGTCATCTGGCTGGTGCAGATAATACGGTGGCTGACTCTTTGTCTCGGGTTGCTACGGTTCAGTTGGAGGCAAATGTTATTGAGTTAATTGCTGAGGGGCAGAAGACTGATGCAGAGTTGCTCGCTCAGCTGAAGAGCCAGTCTGAAGATGGGGTTGGGTTGAAGAAGTTGAGATTGCCGGATTCGAGTATTGAACTGTACTGTGATGTGTCAGGCAGTCGTGTTCGTCCTTTTGTTCCCGCAAACTGTCGGCAGCTGGTACTCTCAAAACTCCACGGTTTGGCTCATCCTGGTATTCGAGCAACGCGGAAATTGGTGCAGGCTAGGTATGTTTGGCTTGGTTTGGTTAAGGATGTAGCTGTGTTTGTGCGTAGTTGCATTGCGTGTCAGAAGTCCAAGATTCAGCGGCATACTAAAACACCAATTGGTTCGTTTGCTGATATTGATAGTCGGTTCCAGCATGTTCATGTTGACATTGTGGGTCCATTGCCTTTGTCTCAGGGGAAGCGTTATTGTTTGACTTGCGTCGATCGTTTTTCTCGGTGGCCTGTTGCTGTGCCTCTGTCGGGCATTACGGCAGAAGAAGTTGCAGCGGCTTTTATCGACGGTTGGGGGGCAAGTTTTGGTTCTCCGCAGGCTATTACCACTGATTTGGGTCGGCAGTTTGAGTCTGCTGTATTTCGGGAACTGACGAGATTGCTTGGAGTGAAACACTTTCATACCACGGCTTATCATCCTCAAGCAAATGGCATGGTTGAACGTTTCCATAGAACATTGAAGGCAGCCATTCGATGTCATTCCTCAAGTAATTGGACGCAGTCTCTTTCGCTTGTGTTGTTGGGATTGCGAACGACACCGAAACTAGACCTAAATGCTAGTCCTTCAGAGATGTTGTTTGGAAATCCTCTTTGTGTTCCAGGGCAGATGCTTTCGGATTTCAAGCAGAAGTCGTCCGAGACTGATTTTGTGTCGGCGTTGCGAAGGGCTTTAGCTAAGGTTAAATCCGTTGAATCAACAAGACATTGTCATTCATCTGTGTATGTTCCGCGTGACGTTATTAATTGTAAGCACGTTTTTCTTCGAGTGGATCGTGCTCGAGCTCCACTTGAGCAGCCTTACGAAGGTCCATTTGAGGTGCTGAGTCGTAGTGAGAAGACGTCTGTTATTGTTTGCCGTGGGAGAGAGGTGACTGTTTCGAATGATAGGTTGAAGGCGGCGTACTTAACGTGTGATGATCTTGAACAGGTTGTTCCAGAAACGCGTCAGCCTTCAGCGCTGTTGAATGGTGATCAGTTAGTGACTTCTGGTGATTGTAGGCGTGAATCCCTGTTGCCGATTCCGAAAGTGACACGAGCTGGTAGAGTAGTGCGTTTTCCAGCAAGGTTAGCGGAATTTCGTGATTAAGAGTGATGTTGTCGACTTAGTTGTGGTGTCGCGTTGTTGCTAGTACTCCATCGCTAGGAGGGGGTACTGTGGCGACCCAGTTGGCTGTGCATTTATTGAATTTAAAAAGTAAAATTCAATTTCAAATATTTTTAAGTTTTTGTTTTTGATTGATGAGAACGTTTCGATTTTTCTCTCTGTAAAAAGTTGAATAAAAGTTTATTAACATTGAAAATTTTTAGAGTTTTATTAATTAGCAAGGTGAACAGATCATTGCTAAATTTCAAATATTTAAATATACGAATATAATTCTTAATAATAAGAATTCTTATAAATAACAAGAAATAATAAGTTTTTTTCATTGAACAAAAATGGCTTTAAATATACCCGCATATCACACTTATTAACCACATTAATGAAAAAAAAACAGAAAACTAATAGAAATAATGACTATAATTAAAGTTAATAAGATTAATACAATAATAATAATATTTATTTAGTAATTGATAATAATAATAGCAGATACAATAAATCAGAAAAATAAAAGAAATGTAAACAACAATTAAACATGAATCACCATAGGCTCTTTTGTAATGAATTATGTGATATTAATGAAGACAATTTATATGTGAACATTGGATTAATGGAGTTGGAAACAGCTAGCACCTTTACTCCTTCGTCCGAAAGCATCTCATTTTATCTAGGCTGGAGATCAGAGTCAGGTTAGGTAGGAGTGGAGTCAAAAGTCCACTTAGGCTCAAATAATGGCTCGTTGTAGTACCACAGGATTAGCGTTTGGAAATCATGATAATCTATTTTAAATTTATTTTGAAATCCTTTTCGCTTTTGTTTATCACTATGATAATATTTTATGATCGTTTAAATAATAAGTTATACTATATATGTAACATGTCAGATCAGGTCATATTAAGTGAAGTTATAATTTTCTATTCTCCGATTTCTTTTGTTTAGTATGTTTCAACCAAATCAAAAGACATGCTGGTTTTCGGGTATATTTTTCACTTTTTTTTTTAATTTTTTAAAGCGTGATAGTATGGATATCCTCAAGTTTTTTTTGCTTCCCTCGAATAGCAATATGTGTACCATATTACATCTTATTGGTTGCCTTATCAGTATTAACTGGGTATAATTTTCTCTAGCTCAAACTTATTCCCTCTTTATTTTAACACGTTTAAGATCACCTATGAGACATGATAGTTCTCAGTAATACTTTTTCTTTTATTTCGAAATCCCTTTCTTTGTTTTTTACGGTATTACGAATATCGGCAAATTTTCCCTGTGTCCCTTAAATAATCAGTTAGGTATGTAACCTATTAGACCTTATGAGTTTTAGTGTAACATTATCTTATGGTATTAGGTCAATTTGTGATTTTTTGTTGTTCAACTTTTTTGTTTTAACATATTTTGGATCAACTACAATATAGGGTGGATTTAAGTGGAATTTTTACTTTTATTTTGAAGCCCTTTTTTTCTTTTTGAAAGTATGACAGCATGAGTATAGGTCAATTTTCTCTCAGTCACTTTTGTAGCAATATAGTAGTAGATGAGATACAATAGATTTTGGAGATATTTGTCAACGGCATTTTTCAGGATCCCATTTTTAATTTTTGGTCAAATTTTTTAAGTATTAAATTATGGATATAGCCCACTTTTCTCGCAGTCACTTGAATAGAAAATTATATATGAAGCATATTAGATCTTATATGATCTCATTATGTTTTAAAATATTAAGTGCAGTTAAAACTGTTCGTTTTATAACTTATTTATTTAAACGCTTTTGGGACCCACTGTAAGATAACTGTTGTTTTCGGAGACAGTTTTCATGGTCCGTATGTGAAAGGGCAAGTCTTACTTATTTTAACTAAAAAAACTATTTATAGTTCATATACCTATATATTATAGTATAAAGCTGTATAAAACTATATATAGCTGTTGTATGCTGTTGCAGGCAATCACTGAAACCGCGATTTATGTTCTAACATATATAATTACAGCAACGTTTTAGCTTTTTTGATCGATATTCCACAAAGTGCTCTGGTAAAGCATCAAATTAGTCAGCATTTTAGACATTTTTATTAAAAGATTTCATTTTGTTACTATTTTATGAATTAATTCAAGTTATTAGTGTTCATAACTGTGTGATATTTTCGCTATAAATATCCTTAACTGTACTGTAATAATTTTCCCACAATGTCGTTAAACTCTTTACGTAATATCTATTTTAATTTTTTTTTTTTTTTTTATTATCACTAAATTAAAATCTTGTAGAAATATGTTTAACGTTAAGAAAATGACATAAAAATTTACCTACCCAAAATCGTAGTGTTTTTCACATAAAACTTAAAAAATTAAAATTTAAGACTTCATGTAAATATTTACTATTTTCTTCAGTATTTTTCATTAATGACCACTCAGTACCAACGTATGTTTTTCTTAATCTCCGACATCTGCAGTTTTCATATTTTATAGTGAAAAATTTTTCACATAAACCGGAGAGGGCAGTACGACGTGCAATTATTGCAGTTCATTTGGAATTTTTCTATGAGGTTTCATCAAAAAAGGGTTGAATTGTGGTGTGGATTCGTTTATGTTTGTGTGTTTCGTAGTGATTTGGTACCTTTTCCTTTTTGATGGTTTCACAAATCCAATATGCAAATGAATGGTCATAAATCTTAAAAGAACTGAAAGTGATTTTATTGACCCCCTGTAAAGCGCCGAATGCACGTAAACTGCAGCTGCTTGTGCTTCATTATCCTTAGCAATTTTGTTACAATTACTTACAAAAACACAAATTATTATAAAAATTATAAAAATAAATATATTTTAATTGCTCGTAACTTTTTATTGTTGCACTTTTCGTTGTAAATTAAAAACGGTGACAAATGCGAATACCGCAGAATTCGTGTTAAACGTTCAAAAGTTCAAGTACACGGGGACGCCTGGATTGGCTACTGCATCGCACAGATACTCCATATCGAAAGATTGAAATATCGTAATATCACCAAATTTTTTGAGATGATGACAAAAATTTCATTTTTTAATACCTGCTCGCGTTTTATTATTAATTCAATTCAATATTTAAAATATTGTATTATTTGCTTTCATTAGCATCTTTTGTGTTTTGTATTCGATTTTTATAAATTTTATTTCATTTTATATCATCTTTGTTTTCTTTTACGTATCGATAATGTAAATGTTAATTAATGCGATACGAATAAGAAATTTATAGCCCACACCCGAAAAGTTTCCAACACATAAAATCAAATGAAATAAAATAAAATTAAATTTAAGATACTCGACGACGACAATAACAACGACAACGACAACGACAACAACAGCGACAACCCAGCCACAGACGACAAAAACCGTCTACGTATTAACAAAGTAACCATTTTATAGCATCAGGTGGATGGATGCTGTTGATCATTATGACGATTATCAATATCTGTTCAATCACTATGTTTACAATGCTGTCCATGGTAATTATAATGATGGTGATGGTGATGATGATAATGATGAAGTTGATAGTGGTGATGTTTGTGACTCGAAATGGCGTACGTACGCATACGTAAATACACGCATGCCTACATTTTAAGTAAAGTCCACTTAAGTATAAATTATAAATTATCTTTACAGGGTGAGATTATAAAAAAGTTTGCTTGGAGCTGTAATATATAGTTTCTCTGATGTATAGAATAGTACCTAGCCTTGGAGACAAATTGTGAGATCATAAAATTGAAACTATTAAAAAAACATATATTTGATATTAGATATTAATATCTTTACATTGGAATAGACATTTAGCGGTAATTAAATTTAAAACTAAAAAAAAAAATAATCAAATGATCATTTTAAGTTAATCGAGTTTGAAAGTGATAAATAACTGTTGCTTTCGATCAATAGTTTTCTGATGCCTTGTGGTTAAATTTTTAATACACTATGTTTAATGTTTTCAATGAAAATAGGCATCTTTAACAACATTTACTAAAGTAATTACATCATCTATTCAAAATATCATAATGTGCCCAAATAAATAGTATTTATATTAATTATGAAGTAAGCCTCATGACTCCTCACATAAGCATAAATCTTTAATAGAACTTACTAAAGTTATTTATTTTTTTAATTTATTAATTAATTGGTTTCTTGGCTGACCATTAATTAATAAAATAATATAATTTTGTTGTAATTTAATACTATTCGAAATATCTCTCTATTGAAAACAATAATTTTTATTAAGAATTTAGTTTCTTTCGTCAAAATGGACGTTATAAATCAATTTAATATAAACTTATATATTGTATTATATTTATATAATTATATAAATTTAAAAAATATAATTATACATATATATGTATTAAAATACTAAATTTATACGTATTAAATACGTATGTATATCGTACATCTATTATATATATAAAATTATAATTTTATATATAAATTATAAAATTACACATTTTAACATAGTCATAATATAATTTGCATTCTATAATATATATTGTATATATATATGTATATAATATATGTATATAATGTATATAATATATAATGTATAATGTATATAATATAATATATTGTATTATATATATATACAATATATAATATATTGTATATATATATATACAATATATAGTTGTATATATATATATATATACAATATATAGCTTCACTTCACACACGTAAGCAGTGCACAACTAAGCAAAAACTCAAAAAAAAGATGTTAGACAGTAGTACTACAAATATAAAAAAATGCTAGCTAATATACCAAAAACAAACAAAAATATCTAAAATACATTCGCAAAAAAAAAAAAGAAATGGTCCAAAACTGTGTAGAATATGTTTATCAAATAATACCTAGTAAAATGGACAGTCAAATAATGTTGTCGTAAAAAGGTCATCAAAGTGCTAGTTACCAGTACTAAAGCATCTATAAGCAAGATAATAACCTTATCGAAAATTGAATGAGAATGATCATATACAATCAATAGTGATCTTTGGAAATATTTGTTGGTTTTATAAGCTTGCTTATAATTTTATGGACTACAAAAACTATGCTAAGAGCTTTCAATGTCTCACTCCTTTGTCAATGCAATATTTATTATATCAAATCATTTTTTCTTCCTCGTTTTGCGGTATAGAACTAGAACATAAGATTATTAGAAAGCTTTAATTAACATATATAGTCCATAATAAAATACTAAGATCAGTGATTTGTTAAATGTGTGGAGGACTCAAAGTGTAAAGATTTGTCTTCGGTAAATATATAGTAAGAAAAATTTTTGTGGTTATTATTATAATAATAATTAATAATTATGATTATAATTATTATTGTAATAATCATTACTAATTATGATTAAAATTATTATTATTATAATTATTAAACAAATAACTAGGACAAAAGGTATGCGCTCTTTAAAACCGCTGTCATTACACAGTTCAAATGTTAAAGCCACCTAAAGTATGGGGTTTGAGTGCTAAACCCGCAATAGAAAATTGAAATGCTTCTATAAAATGGAATATCATATTTTTCGACTTATAACTAAGAATAATTTATATTATTTTTTTTATTATATTATCAAATTTGATCTCATTTTTTCTTAAATGAGGCTTTTCTTTCTGAATTTTTATTAATCACTGAGATTATTGAATTTGTTCATATTCTGTTTGGATTATACTTGAGAAAACCATTAATTAATCTTTTCTTTGGTATTGTCTAATTTATTTGAAGAACGTATCCGAACCATTCCATGACATTTTTCAACCAATTTATTTATGGTTTGGATTTTTTTAAGAGATTATTACATTTAATAATTATTTGATTACTTATCTAACTTAAAAATCGAATCAATTATTAAAACTAATAATTTTTTATTAGATAATGTTTAAATAATTTTGTTACTCTTCTTTGTTGTTGTTCCATTTAATCGAAGATTGTAGTCGTTTCTTCCTAGTTATAGGGTTCCTAGAGTCCTAGTTATTCCAGTGGGATGAAAAACTGATCTTACCAGATGTTCTCTAAAAATGTATAATACATAATATAAATTTATGTATAATTATGTATGATATATTATTATTAGAACTTTTGAAAGTGCTTAACTTAATCTATCATTCCTTCAAATAATTTTAAAATAATCTTTTAGAAAACAAAATATTTTAGAAGCAAAACAACTTTTTGTAAAAAAATAAAAGACAAAAAAAAATTATAGGGTAAAAATTAAAATTTAGTATCTAGGAGATACTAGCAGTTCTTATCGATAAAAAGTCGATTAATTTACCTGGGTCAATTGCAATAATCATTGGATGGAGTCCATTGCGAACATATTGAGTCTTTTATCGTCAAATACAATTCCTGGTAGAGTTTTAATTCGAATTCATGACAGGAAATGACCTCATGATGTTAGATGTTGAAGCTATTAGAATAGTAAAAATTTGAGGGAGATATTTAACTGCCAAGAAATAAGTTCCATATCTATATTACAACAATTTTAAAACCTCTGTAGATGCAACAATCCTTCACATAAATTTTATACTTGATTTTTGATGCAGATATTGACATTTTTTCATGAAAGTATATGTACATAGTTTATTGTTTTAATTTGGAGGAAGCTGCAACCTATCAATCATCTCCTCTCGCTACTTGTCTGTAAACAATTATTACTATTGTGTGGAATTTTTCTTTGACCTTATATATCTTCCATGATTTTAGCATACAACTCTCTTTGCATAGCAACAAAAAATTTTTAAATGAATTGTATATATACTAAGACGAGGAGTTTGTACCTATTAAAGGAATAATAAATTAGAATTTTTAAATTACTCGAACGTTTGAGCATAAATCACTGTCATGGATTGATTATCTCTGTCCTGAACTCTATCATTGATTATAAAATCTTGGACATGGCACTATAATTTATAAAGCAAGCAGCACATTGCCAAAAAAATAACTTTTCGATAGTGATTCTAAAAATTTTCAATAGAGCGGTTTTTTTTCTAAAAAAATTTTATTTTACATATAATTGATTTCTCACATTTCATAAATAATATTTTGTGCAACAACATAATACTCTTTATTTTCAAGCACCCTGTATTTTTAATTTAATCAAACCGTTTAGCATATTGGCTTGTCTTCAATAATACATATGCCTTTATGAAATTAACTAATTTTTTTTATCTCTTTCTAAGAAAAATAAAAAAATTTTTTCTTTTACATAATATACATTTTTTACATGGTTGATATATAATATGAATTAATGAAATGTAAACTTTTTTGTTGAAATTTAAATAAAATTTCACTTTTAATACTGAGGCTGAAATAAAAGAAAAATTATAACTTTATTTGGCTTTGTTATGTGATGAGCAAATTGAAATTATTTTATTAATAAAAAAACAATAAAAAAAAAATATATATGAATATAAAAAAATTTAATATTAAATTATTTAGTAAAAATTAAGTAATATTTTTTTATTGCAATGTTTAGTGTTATAATATAATTAGTATATAAATTAGTATATAAATGAATATTTTTTTTATCTAGTTTTCCCATGGATTTCATTCATATATACATTGTGACCGAAAAGCTTTCGGAAATTCTCATTTAAAATTCGCGCGCTGTATATTTTTCGATATTTTAAGTTTATGTAGTTTGGCAGCACTTTCCTCAATTACTATGCCAAAAATGAGCGCGATCTGTCAGACAGTTCGTTTACGGCAGCTGTTGAAACCAGTTCACCTCAGTAGTGCGTTGCGAAAAAAACAATGGAAAAAAATATTGAACAAAGAGTTTGCATCAAATTTTGTGTTTCGAACGAAATTTCGTGTGCAGAATCGTTGCGAATGCTACAAAAGGCTTATGGGGAATCAGTTTTATCGAAAACTCAAGTTTATGAGTGGTACAAAGCCTTTCAGGACGGTCGTACGACCGTCGAAGACATGCCGCGTTCTGGACGACCTTCGACCTCTACCACCGACGAAAACATTGAAAAGGCAAAGGAAATCGTGTTCCAAAATCCTCATGTGAGTGTTAGAGAGATAGCACGAGAGCTAGGCATCGGTCGTGAGACCATGGCCTCAATTGTGGAAGGATAATTCATGGATTTTTCATGACGATAATGCTCCCTCGCACCGAGCCAACATTATCAACGATTTTAAGGCCAAACATTCAATAAATACCATCGAACAGCCACCGTATTCACCTGATCTTGAACCGTGTGACTTTTTCCTGTTTCCCAAACTCAAATTACCACTCAGAGGAACGCGTTTTGAATCCATAGAAGACGTAAAACAGAATTCGCAGAGGGAACTCAAAGCCATACCGGAAAGCGCCTATAAAAAATGTTTTGATGATTGGAAGAAACGTTGGCATTTGTGTATCGCTTCTAATGGAGCATATTATGAAGGAGATAAAATAAATATTGATGAAGATTAAGAATTTTGCGTTTTATTTATTTATTTCCGGAAACTTTTCGGTCACAATGTAAGCTATATTCAAATTTTTTTGAAACTTAAATAAAATATTATTGCAATAATTGTAATAGTTGTGATATGTAGTGTAGGTAATATTATATTTTTTATTAACAGTATCACTAGTTTATATA